AGACGTCCTGCAATAGAATAATTAATTAATTTATATACATTTCTATTAAAATATTATAGATAAATATTTATTGAAAATGAATAAGATATCAATTTTCCCAATCGATAAAAATGCCATATTTTTTACATCTACCTGTAGTCTTTCTTAAATTATAATATAAACAAATAGTTTTTAATGAGTACAAATTGCTGTATAGAAAAGCGTCTGCCTCAAATAATATTGCTTTACAATTTCTCAATATTAAAAATTAAAGACTTTGCTTCTAATGGGAGTATTGACGACTTCTGGACGGCAATAGTAGAAAAATGGACATAAAACTATCAAAGGAACAAGTAAATAAATATTTGTAAAATAGTGGAGCACCTAATTTCATTTTATTGACTGTGAGCGCAAAATATTATAGAAGCAATTTTCAAAGTAACTTGTCTCTTTCTGGATCACTACTCTGCTAAACTTTTATATCTCCATTATCAATTATTTTTTGTCATCACTCCCACTGTTCCATTACTATTACAGATATTCTCTTCGAACAATTTATTGTTTAGAAACATGACTCAAACACTTTCTTCTTGAATAAAGACAAATTTTTGGGACAAATCTGTGAGTTGTCTTGATTATATATTAATATTAATATGATGAACCCCTGAAATATCACTTTGTCTGGTTTTGTTGGCATATTTAGGATTCATTTAATCGATCAAAATAATCAATTATTAATTAGTATTAGTTAACCAAATAGTCAATTCCATCTCCATATTCCACGTAAATATAAATGCGAAACAAATTATTTTATATAACTCCAATAAAAATTAATACATCTGATTTATCTCAAGTCTTATTTGATCAGAGTTTTTGAAAAAAGACGCTTCTTATAGGTGATTATCAAAGACCTACCCTTATGTTACCATTCACATACGCTTTGATGATGTTTTGAAGTATTTGAGGATGTTCGAAAGTTGAAATATCTAAATCAATAGTTTGAACACCTCCAAAATTGGAAATATGGTCCACCCTTGAATCTCCATAAGTTTTACTCAACCTTTCTAATACATGAAGGCAACTATTGCCACAATTATTAACCTTGAATTTATTTAAGTTCGTGAATGGTGCAACAACAATCAAAACATCCAAAAACTTATCTACATATTCCTCATTTCGCCGAA